TATTTTATTGCAAAAAATCAAACCTGAATATTTCGAAAACCTTATTTTGAGTTTTTTTTTACCCCATCTAATCGGTGGTTAATGCCATAATTCGAGAAAGTTGTTAAGGTCTGACTTTCTCGTAAGACTCGGGAAAAATACTAACATTTTTAGAAATTTTTTTTTTCAAAAATATGCACGGTGAAGAACAAATTAAACTTCACTAGTACATAAATAAGGACTTTAACTATTAGATAAAAATTAATTTTGTGCATAATCTAATATTTTTAATTTAACATTGATGGCGAAAGGACCTCCTTAAAAAATTACAGTTTCAAACAGTAAAAATTGACATTTCAATATATAGTCGATATTATGAGGAGAAGGGGAACTCAGATGAAAGAGAAGGGGGTCTCACTCTGGGAGAATTTAACATATTTGAAACAGTAAAAATTATACTTTTAAAATATACATTTTACCAGTCCAAGCAAGTCAATAATTACAGTTTGATTTTTAGCGTTGCGTTTAAAATTTACCATTTTATTTTGTAAATATTGACGTTGCTTGTATTAGAAATTTACTAACTTTATTTTATACTTTTTACATATCATAAGATCATTTTTTAGATACCAAACAATAAATATCAAAGTCTGAATTCTTAATTATTATACTTAAACATTTTAGACATTTACATAGCGAATATTACTGTTTGAAATAGTATTTTCTTCGATGTAAAGAGTAAATTGTAACGTTCAAATGGTAAATATTATAAAGTGAATAGTAAAATCACGATTTTACTGTTTGAAATGGTAGTTTTTAGCAGTTGATCATTACTTATTATAAATCGACTGTTATATAGTACAGTTTACTTTTTTCCGTGTATAATAAAAATAATTCTTTTAATTCAATAATAAACTGATTTAGCAACAAAATTTGTAGACATTTATTTGAGAAAAAAATATTTTTTACCTATCAATATTATTTATTACAGTTTATTGTTAATATAATTAAGAAATAAACTTGTAACTTGTTAACTATTGACATTTTTATAGATATAAGCTCATCTCGACATTACACTCATCGAGACCTTTTATTTGAGTACCAACATCAATTTTTCATATATTCCATATATTTATATATATATTATATATATGTATATATGAAAAATATATAAAAAAATGCAAGTGGGTACTCAAATAGAATAAAATTAACTTGTTAAATTCAATAAAAATTTCATAAAGTTCATAATTTATAAATAAAAAATGATAATAATTCAAGCAGTCCCATTTGGTAAAAGGAAAGTTTAATGATAAAAAAAATCCCAAGGGTATTATTAATAATTAAAGCCGAGATTAAGCTATTGAATATCAAGAGTAAAAAATCAATAAAAATTGTTGAAATAAAATTTTTTTACTACCAATTTGATTGAATTATATTGTATTGTTTATAAGTTAATTTAATGATAAGAAATAAAAAAGTTTAAAAGGAAACAACTATAAAGAGATAAAAGAAAAACAATAAAAGTCTGAGAGTCCAAGTTGGTCTTTTAACATCTGGTAGTACGGTTAAAATTTCCCTTGAGATTTATACAAAGTTATAAGAGGGAAAAACTGTTGTCCTGATATCTGCTGGGAGAGGAAACACCGAGCAGAGGAGTTGTATCGTACTTTTATTTTATTTCCCTCGACTTGAGAGTTTAGTAGCTCGAGCTGTGCAGGTTCTAGACTGAGAAATGCCAGCCAGCAAGCAAACCCTCCAATGAAAGAAACGCTGCTAATACACAGGCTTTTATTATTCATTGGTTATTTCCCGCAATCCATTAGCAAATTGCCAATTATCGCTCGATCGGAAAATTTTTTACCTCAAATATTAATTAATATTTTTTGTTTTATTATTTGTACCGTCGATGCTTATTTTTATTTATTTTTTTTTTATTTTTTTAATGGCCAAGCTTGTTAACATTTATTTAATTGACAGTTACAATGGATTTTATTAACACGCGGTTATATATATATTTTTACTAACTTAATTAAAATGGTGTCAATAAATGTAGAATTTATCACGCGGAATATTGTGACATTAAAAATAAATGACAGGAGAATACTACGTTTTAATGGTCATTTATCGTGTATGTGGGTACTTGATGGACGTCAATTGTCCGGACAATAATGTTGACAGCCAAATAAAAAATTTATTATTAATGGTTTATGGATTTTTTTATTTTTTATAGAAAAAAAAAACGATAGAAAATCTAGTAAATAATTTTCTTTCAATTTATAAATCAATTTTATAAAGAATAAAATTTTAGAGTCAATTTAGAAAAAAAAATTGTCCGAGCCTGGACTCGAACTCGGAACTTTTTGACTGCTAAAAAATATGTCGAAACTCCTCACCAATAGTCAATTTATAATGATAATTATTTAGGCTGAATTCGAAAATGCATTATCTCTAGATACATTATCAAGAAATGACCTTGTATTTCGTGAACTATTGACATTTTTAAAGATATAAGCACATCCCGATGTTATACTCATCAAGACCTTTCATTTGAGTATTCACATCAATTTTTCATATATTTCATATATTTATATATAATATATATATGTATATATGAAAAATATATCAAAAATGCATATGGCTACTCAAATGAAAGCTCTTGATGAGTGTAACATCAGGATGAGCTTATATCTTTAAAAATCTCAATAGTTCTCAAGATACAAGGTCATTTCTCAATTACTGACATTTTTAAAGATATAAGCTCATCCTGATATTACACTCAGCAAAAGCTTTCAGTTGAGTGCCCACATGCATTTTTGATATATTTTTCATACATACATATATATAATATATATA